CGCCTTGGCAGCTCCTGACTATTCTATCCATGTACAACACAAACAGGATAGGGGATAGGACGCAGCCTTGTCGGAGACCAGTGCGAACGTTGAATGATTTCGACTTAACGCCATTAACTCTGATGCATCACCTGCTATCAGAATACAGCGATTGGATGGCCCTTAGAAAAAGGCATCGCCGGTATCGCCCTTATAAAGCAAAATCAACCGGAAGATGTATACTTACAAAATCAACTCAGCGCAGCTCGCCCTGTTACGTAATTAAATTGTAGACAGAATCTGTTTGAACTCTAATCTCCCACCATTCCGTACCATTCTCCTTTTCTATTTCAACGTGAGTTTCCCTCCGGTAGATGGTTAGTCCTTATCTGCTTGCACTTCTCAAGGTCCTGAAGATGTGAAGTGGCGCTGTTTACGTTTGCTAAATATCTTTTTGTTAGCTTTGTGCTCTCGATAGGCTTCGTACCTGATATTTCTTACTGTACTAACTACTGATACTATCGTGATATTAAGTTGTAATACCTGCTCACTCTATGTGCGCGGTAGCGGGGTCAGAGACGGGTCGGAAATCGTATTGGTTTCATGATCTTAAGTGACTTCCAGGCTACTTAATCCGTTGTTCGACGTTGGCTGTGGATAGTGATAATGTTCGAGTCGGAGATGCGGGTGCGTCGCAGGGAGCCGAAATCAGACCCGCGGGTCGAAGACCAGTGGTCGCCGTTTACGTTCAAAAAGGAGTCTCTCATACTTATCTCTCGCCGTCGTTGGCTGCTGATAATAGCTGTGTTTGTAAGTGTCTTCGTTGTGGTCACTCATCTGAACAACCGGCTACCGCGTGCCGTGCTGGCCATGGAGGCTGGCGATACGCAGTTTTCCGAAGAACGAGCTCGGCTGTTCCTCACAAAGTTAACAGCGCTCGGTCCCAGGACGACCGGCGGTGATGCATGGGTGCAAGCTGCCAAACTGATCGTAAGCACTGTAGAACAGATCAAGGTATGGTTGCGACAGGGTAGGCACAGATTCGTGTTCATGATCTGTTGTAGGCAGCGATGACTTCCCAGCACAACGTGCTTGAAGTGTTTGAACAGCACCCGACCGGCTGCTTTCCGCTGAAGTTCTTCGACCAATTCGTGAACTGCTATCAGAACGTGACGAACATCATCGTGAGAATCGGCCGTTCCTCAGTTCCGGCTCCTTCATTGCTGCTAAATTGTCACTACGATTCGTTCATTTCTAGTCCCGGTAAAGACAGATTGACAGTGACTTTTCAACGAGTAATGCAAAGCATGCGTCCCGATGTAATGTAGCTGTCGCGCGACCAGTTCCACAGTCTGTGACGTTTCCGCTCGCCTTGTTCTGCGCAGAAGCAGGGGGAGCTGGCATGTCGCACAGTGGTTTTGTGCACCTTAGAAATCCGGGTTCTGACCTTACACCAGCATAAATCTTTTTTATTAACTGTAAATTCTCTTGAGCAAGGAAAACAACCCAAAGTGCTTCAGTGTACCAGGCGAAAAACACGTAGCAAGGCGCCGACCTGCAAAATAGTAACAGCATGGTATTTTCGTGTGGTCATGTCGAGAGATGCAACCATGTTATTAAATGCGTGCGCCTTGACGCTGCACTTCGCCTTGATCCACCGGATTGCTGACATCAAATCAGCGAAAGCTGAACACGTAAATTTAAAAATTCGTGTTGGTGTTGTGTGATGTTTGAATTGTAGTAATTTGAATAATCGTGATAACAATAACGTAATCCTCAGTAACTGTACACCGGAAATGGACAAGAACTGAAATATGTGTTCGAGTTGGTGCCTAGCTCTAGCTGCTCAGTCGTTATGTTCCATGCCAACGTGCGGTTCGGCATGTTAAACGTGTTAACGCCGTTTCAGTCAGAAAACCTGTCTCAAGTATCGGACAGCAATCCACTAAGCCGAGACGTATGTTAGAAATATTTGGAACTACAGGAATTTTTCGGATAAATTTTAAGCAAGTGAAAGAAATGGCATTCAACAAGTTTTTCACGTTGCTCGAGAAAACTGCTTTTGTAAATAAGCTCGAAGTTGTCAGTACCTCAGCAATGCCGCTGATACATTTAAAATTCGGAAATGATGCAACACTTCTCGATGATTTCAACCGAAATGTCAGGACTACATTGACAGATTTCCGCATGCTCTGTCCTGTATGATCTGTAACCAAATTATACTTCGGTTTTCTTTTTCTGCACTTGTTATTCTCCAAGTACACATTTCAATACTGCGTTCGTAGTTTCTAGTTTCTGAGCAGCTTTCACGAGTAATGCCGCGGTTCATGTTTACGCGTTGATCGAAACCTTGCGTTTCAAGCACAACAGAATTTTCTTGTTTAGAAACATCTTCAGTCGTCCAAAGGCGCTAAATATCTTTATGATGCGCGATGCCGTTACTTCTGGCTTGAGCATTCATCACTGCTTACATTGGGAGCGTAGCACAAGCCACGTGTTCACCGATACATCGCTTGTAATGCATTGAGCCAAGTCAGTCTTGTCCATTCATTACATTTTTAACTGAAGAATACGCGCCGATACCGTTTTCATTGCAGCTTCGAGTGATAGTAGGCGAGACATGGCCTAACGGTACTTTTTCCAGCAGTGGTTAGGCTGTGAACTATCAGCTATCGATTGACGCCTCCATAACTGATTTCACGTCGTATTGCACCTCCCCCTTACTGCTAGCTGCTTAAAGTAGCCATTTTAGCTGCCACAACCCAGGGGTATTCAAGCATCTTGAGTGCAAGATGTATTTCGCATCATTTGATCCACTAGAGCCACCTTCAGACAACGACCATGGCTCTGCGCCGAAGCGTCCCACTGCCATTTTTCGGATTTCGGTCAGTGTAACTGTAACGCATCTAACGATGCATGGATCGTGGTATATGTCATGTTGATTAACAACACAGACCCTTTGAGCCGATTCACGTTTTTTCGTTTATTATTCAGCATCAGGCCCATTTTCAAGATCACTGATATTCTGTATGCTTCAGTTTCGCATAGATACGAATGTGTCTGAATTTTAAGGACTAGAATCACGAGATACAGTCTAAGCTTACTTGAACATTAATCTAAAATTTTCTAGGTTTATAATACATTTCACTCTCCGATCACTTTACTGCAAATTTGATATATTATCATGAGAAAGCCGACCAAGTTTGTAACGATGAGGTTCAGACATGATGGAAATTTGTTTAGTGCACTTTGTGCATTCGATGGAAATATATCGATGAAACGTGTATAATTAGAAGCAACCTACACACTCGTGGAAGCAACTTCTTTGCTGTTTTTGAACTTTGTAAAGTGTGGTTAGACGTTTCTGGTAATTGCTCAGCCGTCGAATTTTGTAATCTAGCTTCTCTGTATGCACTGAACTGGGATTTTGTCTTTCATCCCAAAGTACCATGTGCTGGGAAATACAGCAGTCTTTCTTCTGCAGCAAATTTGAGGGAACGATGCTATCTCTTGATTTACTTTCGTTGCACACTGATTCTGGCGAACACTTAGATGATGATGACCTTGACCAACGATCACACTCAGCATATATTATGGTGCATGACGCTGGTTGCACTAAGTCGCCGTTTTTCTGATGTTCTCTTCCTCTGGAAGAAATTGGTGACCACAAGTCTCATTGCACTGTGGAACAGTAAAGGAAATCTCCTCTTATAATGAACCATACGTATGATATTGTCTGTCGGAATTTGTAACTACGAATTTCATTAATCTTCAGAAGGTGCAAGTTGATCGTACTCTTCGAAATATAGTGTTGCAGATTACGCTTGCGAATCACTTGAAAGAAGCAGTTAAATCAGTAGAGTAAATAGAGTAAATCAATAGAATTATGTTGAATATTTGGGGATAGAAACTAAAATACGTTGACCTAACTATAAAGAGAAATGATTGCTACTTGACGAATTTCTGCTACGAGCTACAATCTTAGCAGTAGAGAATGAAATGTCTGAAACTGCGAGGATCCAATGCAGTTAAAATTGGTTACCATGGGAAATTGCCTACCATGATATCATGTCAAAATGATACCCGGCCAAAAGCCGTAGCATAAATGTGTTTTACGTCACTAGACAGAGAAGGACTTTGATTAACTTGAATAAGCGTCGATAAAGTTCCACGAGCAGTTGTCGTGTGAAGCGTTTGCTGCAAGACTGCCGTTGCGTTTTCTTATGTACGAAAGCATGTTCAACTTTTCGTACTGAAGGTGGATCTAAATGCAATTGATTTTCTGTAGGGGTTTCTGTCCGGACTTCTTTACCGTTTCGGAATTTTGTGTCCTCCCAAGTTTTTCGTTTATCGAGTACCGTGTGCCTCATGCCATAATTCGTTGTATATTTAATCTTCATTTCTGTCTTCACTTTGATGTGCAGTTGGTCGAGTCTCTTGTTTGTCCAATGGTTCTAAGTGCTGAAGTAGAATTTAACGAATTCCTTAATTGCTGTTTGAAATTTATTGACATTTCCTGTAGTCCTAATTCAGTGTCGAAAGAAAAGAAGATGAAGCATTCCAGTTCAGCTTTTGGAGAGACGAAGTGGGTTGAAAGTATTTCGTAGTCGATCAGTGTTCAGACAATACTGTCATTGGTCGCTGTCATAAATGACTGCTTCTCGGATGAAACGAAATTACCAGTCGTTAGGCAACTGAACATTTAGTACGTTATTTTACACATCGAAACATCAAGTTTTTATTCCGTTCAAGCTCTAAACTTTTGAACTTCTTCCAGTGCACCACTTACTCACTGTTCTTTATTCTAGGAGCTTCAGACGATGGTGTGAACTGCGCCATCATGTTGGATCTTCTGTACATTTTCAGCAAGGTTACTGCGCCGTTGAAAAACGATATAATCTTTTTGTTCAACGGCGCTGAGGAAAACGTTCTTGAAGGATCTCATGGGTTTATCACCCTTCACGATTTGCGCCATTCCGTTAAAGCTTTCATTAATCTGGAAGGAGCTGGAGCCAGCGGTAGAGAAGTGCTTTTTCAGTCAGGTTTATTAGTTGTAATCTGTTCGCCTTGTTGTTTTGCATCGTTTGTCTTTCTAGGTCCGCAGAACTACTGGCTTTTGCAGACGTACGTGAAAAATGTTCCGTATCCGCACTGTTCTACGCTCGCGCAGGAGATTTTTCAGAGCGGAAAGTTTCCAGGCGAGACGGACTTTCGAATATTTTGGCATTATGGAAATTTATCCGGTGAGTCTTTGTTATTAACGCTTGTCGTAGAGGGCGAGGACACATTAAGTATTCTTTTCAAGGGATCACCGTAATATTGCAAGCCCCAGTGCCCTCTGGACGCTTTAAGAAGCGTAATTGTCAGATCATGTCAAACTTTCACAGTTATGATGTATCCTGCCCTTGATAACAGAGTTTGGTGGCGATTCATTGACTAATAGCATTATTGCGTTTCACAGTCTGCCATTTATTGTGATTTGATGTCACCGGTAAAGCCCATTCATATGAGGCAGTCAAATTTACTTAAGTGAACTTTAAGGCACACTATAATGAGCCAAAACATTTGTGTAACAAATGAACAAATCCAAAAAAACGTCAAAGTGGATCCCTATCAGCTGATCAAACTCTGGTCCAAAATAACTGTTCTTTTTTGGAATCGATTCGACATCAGACATCGATGAGCCTTAGTTCAGCACTTGCAAATATTGTTCACCGATCTTGTGCACTGTTCGAAACACTAATATAGCTGATGAGCTGTATCGGTTAGAACAGCATTGCACAGTGCAGCAGTTGTCTTTATAAACCATCTGGTAAGGACATCTAAACTTGTCAGCGCTGCAGTTACAAAGTCAGTCAAGTTGTTTTGACAGCTCCGGGTGTGAACCAATTGTTTTCTTTGGAGACTGAAGAAGTAGACTGATGCAGTGTACAGGAAAAGCCGTCGTATGCATTTTCAACACTTCTGAACAACTTCCGCAATCTTCACAACACCGAAACTGATCGCTGCACCTGCCTCACTACTGCATACATCTGTTGTTCCCTAGCAGCATTCTCATCCACAATCAACTCTAGGTATTTTACAGCGGGGTCTTTTCAAACAGGTTGTTCCAGAACTCTGCA